TTTTTTTGTAAAAATTAAGGAACAAAACAGGATTTAAAACGATCTGAAATACGCGTTGTAGGGTCTAGCGTTCCACGAGTGCGTGTGTGCTGACACGCTACGCATTAATCCAAGATCATTTTACGTGAATCACATACATATTCATTTCACCAACTGTCTGCAATAGTTATATATTTTTTGTAACAATTAAGGACAAAACAGGATTTAAAACGATCTGAAATACGCGTTGTAAGGTCTAGCGTTCCACGAGTGCGTGTGCGCTGACACGCTACGCATTAATCCAAGATCATTTACGTGAATCACATCATTATTGATCCAAACAATACTTAGTCCCGCCACCTTACTAGCAACTATAACTCTTATTAATTATAACGTTTTGACCCGGTTTGTAATAAATGAAAAGAATTTAATTTTAATTAAACCATAATTTTGAATGCACATTTTGCAGACACACCCCACAATGAACATTAAGTTCTGAATGAAGTTTTTGTTAAGTATTTCTGATTTCATTCCGATTTATAAAAAAATATTTTTGTAGATGGGTGACTGTCAACATCATTTTAAATCTATTTTCAATTAATTAGATAATTGAATAAAAAGGTTAAGTAAAATTAATAACAAGATGTTATAGTTGATTGTCTTTGATGTGTTGATATTAATTTCTTGTAATTTTCTTAAAGGAATTTAAGTGGAAGCACTGCAAACTGTGCAAGGAGAAGGTAAGAAATGCTGACATAATATTTTGTGAACCGAATTTTAAAAATAATAATAACTTTTTTTTCCCTTGACTGGTTGTGACAAGAATTACCATAAACAAAATTCTCTATAAATGAAAATCACTATCTACATATATTATGATTAGATTTTTGAAAATGAATAGTAACTGAAGTTTTACAAAGTATTTATGATGTTTTGGAGCACCAATATGCAGAAATTATAATGATTTTGACTCATATTCCAAGCATATATAAAATATACCAGAAACCTTTGGATATCATCGCTGATATTTTTTTGAAGTTGTCTAGCACTAGCACTATGTTTCTTTGTTAATAAAATTTTATCGAGAAAAAAATATCAGTGATATCCCATAGTTTCTGATATATCATATATACTTGTCAATGAAATATSAGTCAAAAAGATTATAATTTTTCCATATTGCTGTATATACAATGTACACTCTATTTGTAATATTTCTGACCCACCTACAATAATATTCATATATATCCTAWAATTTTACCTACTATTAGCATTGGTGGGTTAGAATTATTGCAAATAGCTACAACGGGGGACAAAAAGAAATGACACCCTCTTAGCTGTTCGGACAAATTTCCTTATTTGACTGATTTTATCGCTTTTTCACCATAATCTCATCAAAAACCCCTTTCCCCGATTCAGTGTTGGGGTTGAGCAGGGAGTTAGGTTCATGAATCATCTATTTTGTCCCCCGTTGTCTGAGAACACTATAAATGTTTGAACTCTTATTTTCCAGCATTGTAAAATGCTTTGTTAAAGCATTTGATACCGTTAGCGCGAGCATCTCTGGAAGTTTGATATTACGTGATACAATTTGAACGATAGAATGTTTAGTTGTGTTTAATTAGCTCGCAAAGTAAATTATGACGTGGTCAGTTTGAAAAAAAA